AAAATTTCTCCAACTAGTGTGAAAACTTTGCCTTTGTTTTCCAGCCTGAGTTTAACCACTGTGCCATGATGCAGGTAGTCATCCATCTCCTACTTAATTCTGTGGCGGTATTTATCCTAAGCGGGAAGTTACATATGCATCCATAATTAAGGTTGCTGAGAAATTATAGCCTCTAAAACAGTAAGGTGAGTTCACACCCATTACTTATTCAGCTTGTGTGGGACCCACCGCAGTTCTCAAGAAAGCCAATGGTTCCCCCCTCTCTCTCCCAATGTATGTGCGTGTGTACGTACCAGTTTTTCAACTAGTCTGCATGCTGCCGTAGAACAGAAATAGTATTCGCTACCTATTCCAGATGGCCACTCTCAATGATCGCTGTTGCTTTTCGAAATTAGATCTTACGGATGCATAACTGAACCAGATAACCTACAAGGAGTAGGTCAATTCCTGCGAAATCAAACTTACGTAAGGTTATATCGACTAGTACGTCTTTGATGACGTTAAACGAAAACAGTGACAGCAGGCATTCCTGATACGATTAGCTGTTGTCAATCCTGATGAAAACTCTCCATAAGCTCTTATACGGCTGTGTAAGTTCTAGTAGAGAGCTTTGATGAGCACTATATACTTGCTCGGTACTTCCTTCACACCTAGATACTGTCACAACACCTCATGGTCAACTGATTTAAATGCTGTCTTCTGAGCAAGGAATATGGCAAGTGTCAGCCACTGACTGGTAAGTATGCCTGTGTTTCAGAACCTATCAGAGTGTGAAGATCTGATTGGTGCACCCCTTGACCAGGTCTGAAACCTGCCTGGTTCTCTCGAGGTTGTTGTTTTCGAGCTCCACTTAAGCTTCAGATAACTATGGACCCTAAGATCTTGTACGTGATATTAGTCATGCTCATCTGCTTACGGTTGCTGCACGAAGACTTCTCTCCTTTCCTACAGAGTGGGATGATCAGTGAAGTAGAAAGTTTGATGGGGCTGCTTCTGATTCCTATAAACTACCTAGTACCTGCTTTACTCTAATCAGTAATTTTCTACCTCTGTCCTTGAAAGCTTCTGGTGGCAAAGTATCAAGTCCTGCATTTCACCGTTTCAGATTCGAAACAGTTTTCTCAACTGCGAGGAGAGTTGAAGGACCGATATCCACGTTTCATTCAGGTTCTGGCTGAATGTTGGGCTACTAAAGGGTTGCTGTGGGTCAGTTGAATTTTCCCTGAAAGTGTTCTGGTAAGCATCCCATCCATCTGTCGTTGGAGGTTATCAGCGTCCCATCTTTTTTAGGTAATGGTCTCACTCACCATTGTCTTCTTGCTAATATCTTCAACAATCCTAAATAATTACTGAGTATTATGCAATGCTGATGCAGTGACGCTTGCTAACCTTTAGATGTAAGTTACTAACTCTCCTTGCTTCTGTTTGTACAGTGGACTTAATATCGTGGTAGGTTTCCTCAGAATGAGCGTTGCTGTCACGTTCAGATAAATGCTCAGATAGCTCCTCAAATGCATACTGCACGTCCTCATCTTCCAGTCGAGCACAAACAGACTTAACTATCGCCTGTTTTTTTGAACTAGTACAACGCATACATACTCGAGCATGTACACTGTTCTAATGCTTGAGTGTAGTGCTGGCCAAGTGATAGTCAGAGCGAAATTGAAGGAGGTGATCATCGTTGTCAGTTCGGTGGCAAGAGATTCTGTATGAAACTCCCAAAAGCCTTTCCGACTTGCTCTGCCTTGGTACTTGCGCTTTAAGGTTCCCCTGCTATTATAACTATCTGAACACTGCTTTCTGTAGCAAAGTGACAAATTTTGCAGAATTCATCGTATTCATCATCCGAACTACATTCGCTGGGTGCGTAGGTGGTGATTACGAATAGGTATCGCCGTGCCCCACTATCCTTCCTAGTTCTCACAGATCCATTCAGTCGGACAGCACAGAAATATCTTTCGATTGGTATCCAGTCAAAAAGTGTACTCTCTGTTCAAGAACCTAATGCTACGCCTACATCTGGGTGTCCACGGAAGCTAGTCACCGAATCTCGGGACACTCGTAGTGTGAATTTTGAGGATTCACCACACTGCTTACGTGAGGTCAAGCTAACGACCACACTAAGTCGTATATGTATGTCTAAGAAACGTAGCATACATTCGAGATGCTGGGGTTTTTGGCAAGAGATCTCTGGTATGCGATTTGGCTTAGAGTCGGAACGTTGAAAGCTTCAGTGTAAAACTGACAGTGGGGTCTTAGTGAACTAGGGATAGTGCTTCGCTGGCTTGGATCGTCTGCAGCAGTCATACAGTGAGAAGTTGGTGAAGTTAAAAGAGATCCAATGTTGGTTTCAGGAAATGAAGACAAAAGTAAGGAGAAAAGTTATGTTTTATTTGCTTTTTGCATACTGCGGGGAGCGCACAGATGGTTGACACTTCCTAGCTGCCCAAACTGTAGAGCGACAGTTCTCCCTGAAGCATTGGGAAAAGAAGGGTTACTACGTAGCTGCAAAGCCGAAGGGATATCTGCTTGAGGTCGGTCACACCTGGCTTCCTTAGAAGTTTGGGGTTTTAGTTTGCTTTTCTCGAATCTGGCTATGAACCCATATCGCTGGCATCAGTGTTCCGCGAGGTAGAAGGGAGTGTGTTATTTTTGGGACCGACCTTTTCTGATATCTCCGCTTCCTATAAGAAAGGCAGTATTAGCGTTGCGGTGCTGGTCATTCAAAGCAAACACCTTACTGCCACCACATACCATCCAACCAGCAATACGACTTAGCCCTCGGAACCCCATGATATTGTCATGACTTAAACCATAACGGTAACTGCATGCCGTCTTGCCACTATCCAACAAGTCTTTCTGGTATTGTAAAACCTCAAGGGGACATGCGTTCCAGCCAGTGTAGCTTGTTGTGTCATTGTGATATGCGAGCCCGAACACAACGTCAAGATAGATATCGGTTGGCATCTTTGATAAGCTGAAATCTATGTTCAGTTCAGAATTATTTTTATCGCATTATCATTAAACTTTCAACCATAGCAGCAGTAGATGCTTTAGTTAATGGAGCATTAATTTTGAGTGCACTAATAAAAATATTACGTTTGGCTCGCCAACGCCTGCTCAACACAGCTGAGGCTGTTGCAATAACGTTGATCAAACCTAAACTATGCATTCAGAGAAAACATGGCCAAGCGTTATTCCCTCCTTGACCTGCAGCAAACTAATGGGTACTTCTGTTTTCTGTATTACTTTTCCTTTACCATCCATTCTTTATATGTATGTATAAAAAACTGAACGAGAAAAATCGATTTCCTTACACTCCCTAACTCACAACTCATTTTGGAAATGTGCTCTCCTCAAATCTCTTGTCTCGCGCTGTACTATCGCATTTTATAACTGTGGTACGTGAGGAGAATTTATTGAAAATAATCTTCGTTCATATTGTTTTTAAATAATATTATGATATACAAGAGGCGATTCTAGTTTCGGCCAGCCTAGGATTTTGTTCTTAACGGGTTCACTAGTTGAATTCGGATGTCTACGGATTTAGATAAGTCGAAACTGAATATTAGAATGAAAGCTCCGAAATTGATAATGTTATAGACTTAAGTCGAAATCATTTGCATTCTCGATGGAGTATATTCACATGTGTTAGAAAATCGTCATGTTCGTTCATTACTAGCTTCAGACAGTGGTATCGTAAATTGAACAGTCAAGAATGGTCTCTAAACTGTTAACTTGGCGACTATGTTGTACCAACGAAATCTGTCACGTGAATTCTGAGAAAGAACTAAGTTATGGTATGTATCAATTTGAGCCAGACCGAGTTTAAGCAGTAACGAATGCAATTCCAAGCGTAATTCTGCGTTGCGATATCAACTTGTCTTCATAACGGCAAAACCATGCGTCTTATGCAACGTTGACATCTAGGCCACGAATAATTTCCATGGTACTATTCACAGTACCATCGATCTATTGTACTGCGGTATGGATTTATATGCGTGGTGGTACCAATCCGTGCTGTGAAGAGTATCTTTATCAGTTTTAGCTAATGTGATTATAGCAGCCCAGTTTTTGAGAGCCATACATATAGGCAACCTCTTTCATCAAGTGAGATAGTCTTTAAACTAGTGTACGGAAAACTGGTTGTTGGCAGTGAATGACCGACATCTTCCTTATTGATTTCCCCGACGTCGAATAAATTTGTAAACGACTGACTGTCGTGGTTCGGATGTACGTTTCAAGCAGTTATACCGAAAAATAAAGTGAATAAATTTACAGGTAGGTTGTATTAACTGAATGTGGTTGGCTTCACAAAAGGAGAAAACTAGTTGGTTACATATCAGTCTCAAGACTAGTCATAATTAAAATAGAGAAATTTCTGGTCGATTAATTTTGGGACTAGTTATCAGTCGTATTTATAGAAATAGATAACACTTCTGTACCAGACGCAGAAAGTTCATGGCTATGTAAGCACAATTAAGTAGAGAAGATATATTTCACTCACTCTTTGTCATATATAAAAACAAAGGGGTTGATAACGTGAGTTTAGATGGACTGATGTGGTTGGTGGAATTATCTGGTATGTTTAACCATAGGTACCAGCTGCCGTAGGGGTTGACTGATAACACTTCTGACTGATGAAATCAGGTTCATGAAGTCACTAACTGCCAATGTGAACAATGTAGAAGCTTGGTATTCTTGGTTACTGTCCTTGAAAGCTTAGGTGATACTACTCATAATCGACTGAAGTAAAGTAGATGTAATAACATGTCATCTCCCATGAAAAGATGGCATTGGTATCCTTCGAAAACAGAGGGTAATTATTGAAACTTCATCTTTTGTAATCCTTATGAATGTTGATCATCTGGAGACTAGTATTTGTGTGGACCTGTGAATGTTTTATGTCTGAATCGCTGTAAAGTTTGTCTTTTCAAAATATTTAGAGATCTTAGTGATTATCCATAATTACAGCTTATTCTTTATATATTATTTACCAGATAATTGGATTATATCAATGAACTTAAATAATACAAACAAGGACTTGAATCCAGAAACTGGAGAGGAAATAAAACGCAATGAGTATCGTAAAATGGATACTTATGATTTCGTCCGGCGTGATATTGAGCGATTTTTCGCACACCCAGTAAGTCCACTTATCCATATTTATTGCTGGTATAGGAAGAAGCCATTGTTTCTCCTGAATTAATGCAACCTCAGTTGCCAAAACCACCTCCTGAGTTCGTCCGCAATGTATGGGGTACTATCATTCAATAAAAAAATTTATGAATTTCAGGGTCTGCGGCTGGAGTGGGCAGTGGAGACTTCCATATTTATAGAGGGATTAGACGAAGAGAGTATACTCGTTTGGAAATGATCGAAAAAACTGCAGAAGAGGTAAGGTTTTAGTTTTTGTACTAACGGTTTTCTAAGGAACGCTTGAACAGAGAGTTTCAACTGAAACAAAAAGCATTAAATGATCTAGCTGCTGAAAAAACTGCTAAAAAGCGAGCCAAACGTCAAATGAAGAAGGCAAAAAGGTTAGCTAAAAGAAAGTCAAAGTCAAAAACGCAATCCAATTCTGGTGAAGACAGTGACTGTTCAAGTGAACAGCCAGAAGAAAGTATGGATACAGAAAATAATGAATCTACTGGGACTCAAGAGTTCACCGAACACAAACAAGTTTGACATGATCCATTTGTATTTATAAGTATTAGTATGTATCTGCATATAATACTTCACTACTATCTTAATGAGGATTTTTCTATGGTTAGTTTGGAAATTGTCTGTGCTCCCTTTTTATACTTAAAGCGTTTTAACTCTTACGTGATGCGAAAAAATGTCATCTGAATGTCGTCAACCTTGCAGTTACTTGCCTTTGCAACTATCAGTTCTCTTTTATGCAGTTAGATTTGTAGGGAACGTAGAAAAATTCTGACTAATGTTATTCAATCTGCCGGTTGAGATGAAGATTACTCTTGTTGAGTAGGTTATTTTTTCCTTTAGAATTCTTCAGTTGAGAAAAAGTGGCCATTAAAATATCGTCATATATATATATATATATATATATATATATATATATATATATATATATATATATATATATATTTCGAAGGTGAATTTTTGTTCGCTCTTTGCAGGTGGCATTGGGTCTGGTTTTAGTGCTTGTTGGCACTTATAAGTTAGACACTGCTACAACCATAAAGAAACCTATATTCTTCCTGTGACTTAAATTTACTTCACTCAGTGGCGAAAGATGAGCTGTAGCTCAATGGTTTAGAGAGATAGCTTCCAGCCGATGGGGCACTGGTCCGAACCGTACTCCACCTTACCGGTATCTAGGTAGCCTGGTAGTATTACTTGCCCTCTCACACAATAGGCTTGGTTCATTGCCTACTGCACGAAAGTGCACAAGGTTACTGAGTGTATTTCGATTCGATTAAGTACCGAAGCGAGGCACTTTGTGAATTAACTTTTCGGTACTGTTCGGTTTTATATATAATAAAACACTTCGACTAGCCATTATGCGTAGTCAGTGAGCGTGATATCATGAGTTCTGCATCGTGAGCTCATTGACCTGTGAAGTACAAAAATGAGGTAAATGAAAAAGGACAACTACTAACAGTAATATTAGTTATTTAATGGGACAGAAAATAAGTAAGTGTTGGAAAACTGACAGAAATTTAGGCTAATATGCGATATGCATTTTGGAGGTCATGAATGCAGAGAATGTAATACGTCTGTGGTGGCTTGGGATACTAACTGTTTCTTATTTTGAAGGAGGTTAAGCGAGTTTGACGCCATGCCTTAGTGGTTAGTAGTCGAACACCTGAACCACTGAATCAAGGTAGTTGTACGTTTTTCTGCCATGTCAAGCATCACAAAGTAATACGTACAATTGCATTTAAACAGTTGATTAGTGTTGACATTTACTGGTAAAAAAACGTCAGTATTTCCCAATCCATGACTTATAACGCAAACAATACTGTGTTTGTAGGAATACCTGCTACTGAGTTTTTTTAGGAAGTATCCTATCGTTTATCTGAAATGTTATGCAACCTTACTAAGTAGTGCATGAAACGACCACTACTGGTTGCTTCAATTTGTATATATAAGACCCATTACTCCTGTGGTGCTACTTACATAGACAATGCCGACGTGAAAACCCCTCAACAGGGTTCAGTGACGGTGAATTTAGCACAATCAAAAGTCTCATCCTACGTTCCTTGGTTTGTCGTGAACTCACAGCTTTAAAAGTTCCATTACAAATAGTCTTAAATTCAGAAGAATCTGAAGCTTTGATAATTTGGATTCGAAAACCAGAATTGTGTTTGAAAGGGATTTTTCCATCCACTTTCCTTAGACTTAACTACCTCTTCTTATCTTTTGAATTATTGATTGACAAATATTGAATTTTTTACCATTAAATATGCACATTTAGTTAATTACATAGTTGTGTTTAAAAGAAAAAGATTAAACATTGGAGCTGAATAATATGGATTGATTTTATTATCATTTCGGAGATTCTCGTCAGCTGCTTACAACGTAGAATATTTAAAATACCAATAAAGTATTAACCTACTTCAGTTCAGCGAAAACGAAACAACACCGAAATGTCGTATATATATATATATATATATATATATATATATATATATATATATATATATATATATCATTATTGTTATTCTAAATTACACAGTATTCTTTTTTCTGTCTTCATCTAAATCTTATGAGAAATTTCGTCCTAATTCGACATGTATATTTGTGATGTTACTACATGACATTTAGTTCAGACAGTTTCCTTACTTTGCTATATCATTGTCGCGTTCTCACTGAACTGAAGTTGGGAAATATTTTATTGTAATTTGTTAGTGTAATTATTCCAAGTTGTAAGCGACTGACGAGAACCACCGAAATAACAAAATGGACTTATATTATTTTGTTCTTGCTCTTTTAATGTTGATAATATTAGCGAAAACAAATTTGTTCGCTGAAGTCTTTCTTCTTTTATAACTTCACGAAAATATTCGAATTTCTTAATATATTTTCTGTCAACAGCCTATCAAAAAATAAGAGACTATAAACGGTTTGTGTAATATTCCATGTTATAGATTCATTATAAAAGGCAGTAATGGAGTTGATTATTTAAGAATTAATAACTGCTGTTAAAAGTCAAACTGTATGCGAGTTTTTCTAGTGAAATCTAGTCTAAAAAAACACTGATCTGAAAACATATAATAGCTTGTTGTAGCATACAGTCCAAACAGATTTCTGTCTTAATAAGATTTACCTCCGACTTTTTAAACTACACAAATACAATGATGTCATTTATGCTAGTAACTCATTGAAAGGATTTAGACAATTCATAGCTAGTAAGTAAGAGAAATAGCTAACTTAATCACTGTTAACAGATGAAGTTATTGCTTTTAACAGTAAGTTGTTCAGTTCGTAAAGGGTATCGTAATTAAGCAGAATATAAGTCAAGTTCTTAAAAGTAAGGGATATTTGTCGAACGTTTTATGAACAGAGCGTTGGTGCGGATGATAAGTCAAGATAGTTGATACTCGTATCATCTACACTCGCTCTAGTGTTAATAACTAGATAAACACATTTCTTATGCACTTAATTATAGAAGAGCGCACTACTCGGTAGAAAAACATCAGAGTATACATGTGTGGATAGACAGGAGGAGATATTATTTCCAGTTTTAGCAGCATATAATTAGAGGTCCTGAATACTTGAATGTCACTGTTGTTGTAATGAGTAATTTAGAGTGCCCACAGATAAAGTCGGGGACAATTTCGATATCTTTAATGCTGTAACATAAAGGGTTGTTCAGGTATTTCCTTCTTTTCGAAAGTATTTGACGAAAGAAAATATCCGATAGGTCATCGCATTCTTTTTCAAACACATAGTGTTTAAACTATCTATGACTCCAGCATCTCTAACGGGAAAGTGTAAATTATACTTTTGGGAGACATCAACTCGAAATTCAACAGACCAAAGTTACACTATAAGTTTGATTACTGCTTGGGAGTGAGCTAACTATGAAGTGCTCCTGAGAAAAAGATTTTACTGTTGAATACTCATATTTCTTCAATAATGTTTATTTTCTACACCCGACTCTGCTTTTTTATTGTTTCAAATTTTCAGGTAATACATCTTAAAGTGGTGAAGAACCAGAGGTTTAGATTACATATATCGACTGTCTGATTTATATGATACGGACAATTTCAATTTTAGTTAAAACAATTATGTTATATGCAAAGCCACTGTTGCTTATAAGCTATTACACCATAGAGACGCGTGCTAAAGACAGCAGACATAACACAGAGTTATTCATATTTTTGCATTTCTACGCATTACAAGGGCTACCCATCAACACATCTTTCACTTTACTACATATTTGCAATATTTCAAACCTCCAACTACCCAAAGTGCTTTTACTTTAGTTAGGTTCGACCACTTCCCATTCATGCTAATAAAATTCAATGTAATATAATTATCCTCTGAATGACATGTTCTATCTGTATATTGCCTAAACTTCTTTCTTTCCTTCGTGTCTTAAACTGATGTAAAATTTCATTTAGTGTGGGATTATGATATTTATAATCTCGAAGAGGACTTCGTTGAAATGAAGATTTTTTGGGTTTTCTCACTGTACAACTATCATCTTTTCAAAACTGAAATTTCTTTATGGAGGTTTTATGTGATGACGTGAAAAAGCATCAACCGTTCCTAGTAGTCATCACTTCTGAGATGGTTGGCTTCGTAATTGTCTTTTAAGTTATTTTCTGTTGTGAGTTAAATCCAGCAAAAATGAGCGGAAGTTATACAGTAATAAGATCGTTAGAACTGTTAGCGAACAAGTCAATCGTATGGTAAGTACTTTTGAAGACTGCATAGATTCCCATTTCTGGTTAAGTAGGGCAACTGACAAAATCAACGTGGAACCTCGCACACAGGTGCATCAGTTTAAGCTGCCACAGTTTACAGCAGTGCACAAAGAACAGGTAGATAGAAAAAGTGATATCGAAAATGATAAAGTAGTGAGAGAACAAACAATCTGAAGATAAAGGTTGGTGTGAATATTCACCCTTTGGATGTCAAAGACTTGGTACAGCTGCGCCATTGTGACCGATTTTCAGCCATGCCACAGAGAGCTCTCAACCACTGATTCCTTTCATCTGGGGGACCCCAGCCAGTTGGTCTACGTCGCCTCATGTAGCTAGGACCAAAAGTGACAGTCTTCACCGACTAGTGCCACGTCCTGTTCTAGCCACCCTGAACCCTCTCCAACCTAATACAATCTCCTCTAGCATGGCATAATAAAGTAGAGGGTAACTCGGTATGCGCAGTATATGTCCAAGCCATCTCAGCCGATGAAGGTTCACAACCTCATAAATCAACTTGCCTTAATTACCTGGGACGCTTCGTCTGACCTCAAAATTGCTCCCTCAGTGATTCCACCGAGCGCGAGGAATGCTGTGAAGACAACTATAATGACTATAACCACTTCATGTCTTCTATTTTTAGCGACCATGTTTCACAGCCATATAAAAGGACAGAACGGACTGCAGCGCAGCATACTTGACCCTTAACAGGTAGTCGGATATCTCGCGAGTCGGCGCCATATTTGACGCAAGTTGGCAAGTGTCGAACGGACTTCATGTATCTGGGCTGAAATTTCGTCAGCCACCAACCCGTTCGGACTGGTGCAATTCCTTAAGTAAGTGGAGTGGTCGACATATTCTACCACTTCACTCTCTATCATTAAACTGGGAATACCTGCAGCAGACCAGTTCTGGAGCATCATCTTACGTTTGCCAGGTGCCAGCGAAACGCATGTTAAGCGTACTCAGATTTTTGCTCATCGCATAACAGTGACAGTCGTCATACCTGTCGAAAATTACTCATTGTCGTGCATTCATATGACAACTCTCCATAGGTTGTGTGAATTTGAGTAGAGAGTTCTGATAAGCACCATATATATTTGCTCGGTACTACTTTCACAATCAGACTGCCGCAGCACTTGACGGTCGACTGAGTGCAATACCCTCTTTAGGTTAAGAAATATGGTGAGTATCGGCCACTGGTCGGTAAGTGTGCGGGTGTTCCAGAAGCTGTCAGAGGGTAAAAATGTGGTCGACGAACCCTCGTCTGGCTCATTCTGAAACCTGCCTGCTTAGTTTATTTGAGCTGCAGTTAGGCGTCGGACAACTATGGAGCCTAGGATCTTGGACACAATCCTGTGGTTGTCACAGGAAGATGTTTCTCCCTTCTTATAGACTGGGATGACCAACGAAGTAAACTAGTCTGACGGTACTACCTCGGATTCTCGTACACCATCTAGTATCTCTGTCGTTTTAATTATCAACTTCTTACCTTCATCTTTGCAAACTTTGGGTGACTAACTACCAGGTCTTGCTACGTTGCTTCGTTTCTGGTTCGATACAACTTCAAGGGGAGTTGGGGAACCGGCATCTTCGTTTAACTCAGCTCCAGGCTGCATGTGGAGCAGCTGAAGCATTGTTGTAGGCCACTTGAACTGTGCTTTAAAGTGGTCTGCCTAACATTTTCCCCGCCTTTGCTGGGAGATTGTCAGCGTCCCATTCTTTCCTGTGATGGTTCCACTAACCATTGTTTTTCCCGGTATCCCTAATGAGCCTTAATAGTTAACTCGACAATTGCCGAGTGTTACCCAACGCTGATGCCTTCTTCATCTCTCCACTGTTCACGATCGATGTGAAGACTCTTGGTCAACTTACGTTTGAGTTGCTTTTGCTCTTCAAAGCTAGTTGGAATTAGTCTTCTCGCATCTATCAGTTCGGATGACGTCGCTCAAATCCATTGACGTTTACTCACCTTTATGTGTATATTACTAATTGTCTTTGTCTCTTCATACAGCAGAATCAATATCACGCTAGGTTTCATGAGAATGAGCATTGCTGTCAGGTACAGATAAATGCTTACCTAACTTCTCTCCCAACGCGTACTTGGCGTCCGCTTCTACCAATTGAGCAACGATGGGCCTCAATGCCTCCTGTTTCCTGCAGCCAGTAAGGTGCAGACATACATGAGCCCGTACTAGTGCGTGATCAGAGTCCAAACAAGTACTACAGAAAGAGTGACAGTCCTCCACTGATGGCTTATAGCAATGTGGTCTACCTGTGTCCATCGCTGCTTTGGAGTCGGCGGACGCTATGTGAGACAGTGTCTCTCCTTATGCTTAAAGTTAGTGATGGCGGAACGAAATTGCAACAGACGATCACCGTTGTCGGTTCGTTGGCATGCGACTACGTAAATACCCCCAAAACGTCTCACCGATTGGCTCAGCTTCTCTACTCCACTTTAGGGTTAAAGTCATCTGTCATTGTGACTACATCTGAACGTTTTGCTTTCTGTAACAGAATTGGCAATTAAAACAATTAATCTTTTGCATCATCCGAACTAGTTGGTAGGTGCGCAGATGATTACAAATAGATATCGGCTGGCCACGACCCTTTCAGTCGAACAGCACATAGACGTCTGTTGACTGGTTTACAGTCGAGAAGCGCATTTTCTACTCTCCAACTCAATACTATGCCTACCCCAGCGACTCTTCGAGAGCCAGCAGCTGGGTTTGCGGATGCTCTTAAGGTGAATTTTGAAGATTCTCTACTATGGCCAGGTGAGGTCAGTTTAATAAGCACACTCATATCCCGTATACCTGTCCAAGAGACGCAGCATTTATCCATGGCTTGGTATTCTGTAGTTCTGGCCAGCGATGCCTACTGTCTTACATAAGTAGGGTAAAGTACACCAAATATTTCTTCATCAAAGCTGTACGGGGTGACCATAGCATGCGTAATGTCTTGGCTTCAGCCGCGTTACAGTGTGCTGCTGTTTTCAAGTGATAACTGTGCTCCCTAACGCAAGGCAATATTAAACCATCTAGTGATTAGCCGTAGTACGATCCTTGACCACTATACATTACTGTGCTTTTGTCACAGGTAATTTTCAGACTCCAGATTTCTGACCATTTATTCAACTCATCTAATTTAGCCTAGAGTGCTATCCTATAATCATTATCATGAACCACTTTCCAAACCCCAATGTCATCATTACAATAGAGCAAGAACAAAAGAGGCCTTAGTGTGGTGTCCTGGGGAACCCCACTCGTAACTGGTCTCAAGTTAGATAATACCCTATTAACTCTGACCATTTGCTTCCTATCATGCAGATAGTATGTGAACAACTCGCGCAAGCTGATACCTATGCCAAAACTTACGAGCTTTCTCAGGAAGCCCAAATGGGAAACCTTGTCAACTACCTTTCTAAGATCAGTAAACACCACGTCAACAGGCAGTTTATTTTCTCTTGCTTCCATTCATTCTTATCTGGCTAGAAGCAAGTTCGTTAGGCATAAGCGTCTGAACAGGTTAGTGTTTAGATTACCACGCTTTCTGTCCAGTCCATTAAAAGCCCGGGTTATTTAGTTGCTTATTTATTCGAATTTAGCGAATAGACACATTTGATACAGTGGAAAAAGAGAAGATTTTTGATCGAGACATTACTTGAAAGTAATTAGCCGTTGAAGTTCTTAATTTTGTCATGAAGTGGCAGAGCATTGGGAAATTTTATCCCAAATAAGGTTATATTTATCAAGTTGCTGTTAACTGAAGATATAAATAGCTTCATGGTTACAAAGAATATCACAGCTGTCACTCAAAACATTCTGCAGCTGAGGCTGGGATAATTGAAATTTTCGTGCCTGTTAATCCATGGAAGAATTTGGAATAGGTAGAAGATGAAGTCATACCCTGTGGTATTTTCCAACTTTAATGTACGCGTGGTCATCTCGGCTAGTAGCTGCTACTTTGACATAGTAGTCGGGCTTTTATATCACAATAATCCAACGAGCTACAGTGACAGGAACGCTTGCTTCACAGAAGTCCTACTTGTCAGAAAGATCTGTTGGGTGGTGGTAAGAGAGCAGACGGTTATCGTTATAGTGTAAATTCCTGAACTATGATTAGAATACAAGGGCGATATCATACTGCCGGCTAGACGAGGTGTGATAGTATGATGTTTCCCAGGGTGACCAGTAGTATCACGCTGGTCCTGTTTTCCCAGTAAGAAGGTAAGGATTAGAAAAGATTGGCCCCAAAAATAGCGCACTCCTTCCTACACTATAGCCTTCTGGTGCCGGTCACGTGGGTTTTTTCCATCTGGCGTTAGAATAACCAAATCGTAAACCAACAATCTTCGAAAAGCTGTGGGACAGGCCTCAAGCAGATATTCCGACGCATGGCTGCTACCTTGACTTGGTGGTCGGGGTTGCATATTAAAATGACTCAACGATCTATCCTGGTGGGATGATTGTTCCCTCGAGGTCTT